TAGTTGTACCTAACCTCAATTTCTCCCGGTTTTTTTGCTCTTTCATTACTAATTAATCTTCTAAGGTGGCGTTTACTTACCTTATTCATATTGTTCGCTGCTTACTTTTTGTTTTATTTGATGTTTTTTTTTTGTTTTTAATAATTTAACTTAAATTTTGTTACGACGATTAAAGTTTTCACCACCACTCTGCGCAATTTATTTTAATCAGCTGTGTCAGAACTAGATACCAACAAGTAACGATTACGCTTTTGTTTAATTTATCAATAGAATTCTTATTGCTTTGCAACTATCCCGATTCATTAAAATGCGATTTACTATATGTATAATTGTACAACTCAGATAAATATTTCCTAAAAATTACCTATAATAAATTTTTAGTTTAATTATGTATATATACTCACCTATGTAAAAATTTAATGTTTTCATTTGCTTTTGTCTTGCCCATATTAGTTATCACTAAATTAATCGATATACATATGGGACCATGAGAGCCAGAGTAGCCTAAATCCCTTTTTTTAAAAAAAGTGAGAAGGTTGCCAGCAAAGCATAGTTCAAAACGTATCTCTTATTGCCAGAGTAACCACCTTTTAGCTTTTTCATGATGTAATATACTACGTTTACACGCAAGTATTATTTGCAAATAACAATTTGCAAAATGGTAAACTTTGCTGCATAAACGCTAAGTTAATTTTTTATTTGCAAATAACTAAATCACGCTAATAAATATTGATTAGTGGTACTATTTGCAAATAAGCACAAGACACCGCCATTCTTCACCATCGAATAAAAAGCAGTAAGTTAGGTATTTGCAAATTATTTTTATTTGCAAATAGCTTATGTATAAACGTAGTAATAGTTAGCAACAGAAAGCTGGAACAAATTTTTTAGATTTTACCAAACAAATGTTAGGTTGTTCAATTACTTCATCATGTTTACTATTATTGTAGAAAGGCTACTCTGGCTCTCATATTACTTCGTTTTCACCAAATTGATCGCTATATATGACAGATTTTGCCAATCATTATCTTACAGTATGTAGCTATTGCATATTATGTGCAAAACTCGATTTAAATGCTGTATCGTTCATCAGCTATGAACTTAACATTTTATTAAAAGTATTGTTATCAACGTGTTTTTTTATTACGCACATTGCTGTTTACTTTTTTGCAATAATAATCGATATAACAGAAATGCACTAACAATAGAGGAAAACAATCGATACTAACAATACAACCATCGATAGTTTCGAGTTTCTAGTTTTGCAACTTTGGGAACAGTGTTGCCGACTCTACTTGCCTTTGTTAAAATTTCAAACAAAAGTTCCCTGTGTGGCAATGGATACATATAAATCAACTAAAACCTTCGTTTAACAATAATTTCTTTTAACTTAAAAAATAAATATCTTTTTAAGTTATTTTGTTTTTAGCGCATATTTTCATAGAGTATTGTCGCAATAGAAGTGATTTATGTGTCTGATTTCAGTTTTATTAATTATAAATATCGCTTCATATACATATGTAAGTATTTAAATGCAAATGCTTGCAAAGTCTTTAACATATTCGTATAATAATTCATTATCGACATTGGTTACGTCATCTCTTTGAATGATGTATGCGTGAAAATATTATGTCGATGAAATGTCCCCTTCATTTGTAAATAGCTCAACAAAAGGGAAATTTCCGTAACTTAACAACACTGCTTGGAAATATAAACAAAGTGTCAAAAAATGCAGAGACTATAAAATGAAGTGAAGTGAATTACAAAAGTAAGTTTTTATGGCAATATTTCTGTGCAAAACCGTAATGAATTAATTAATATTAATTATTTTGCAGTATGCAGCTATTGTATATTACGTGCGTTCATAAAAGCGAGCTACGCAGTTGCTACGAAGCTCTGCAATTGGTTATTTGTGCACAAGTTGGAGCGTTTTGCAATGGCTTGGATAATAAGGTATGATGGTAGTTTTAAGTATGTACTCCCAAGCATTAAATGGTTGCTATTATTTATCTTGCTCAAAAGTGCAACCCCGCTACCTGATCGTCCTCGCCAGCGATATACTCGAAAGCGACAAACACACCCCGCTATTTCAAGGATCAACGCGATGCAAGCACATTTCGCTTTACCTCCATTGCTCCATCCAGCCAAAATAAGGTTCGTTTGAACTTACACCAGACACAGTGACGTAAAATGGGACGCATGCTTCGCAAAACATCTTCCGAATGAAATGAGGGTAAGCAAAAAAAGCTTAAGAAATATAGGAAAATGTTTAGTTACTTGTACAACGATTTTGATTCGGGTCAAATAACTAAACCGTACCCGAAATGTAATTTTTCAACTACATCATTTATTTACTGTTTTTTTAATTATAGGATGCAACCGGCAAGGATACTACAGTTTCTAATTCGGTTTCTATATTCCCAGCAGAGACCTACGTTCGCATCACAACGCCATCAACTCCAGAATCGGCTCCAAATAATGCAATCGCTTTATAGTGCATGAATGCAGCAGAAGCCATTACTCCTAACCTAATCCTAATGTGACGCAATGTTAAAGAGCCCCCACATGCAATTTAATTAAAAAAATTTCTGCAAAATCGATGACAATTAATACCATTTGATTAAACTCCCTTCTTTTTTTATCGAAATATGCATTACATATAGAGTTTAATAAAGGCATTAATTGCCATCGATTATGCAGAAATTGTTTTAAATTAAAATGCATAAAAATTACAAATTTCTTTTAGTTATAAATTCCTAAAAAAAAATTAAATTTTTTTACAAAAATTTCTGTTTTGTGTACGGCCTTGTGCGAGTGCAGAATACATGTACGAAGTTCACAAAGTTGTAAGCCAAGGCTTTTTTTTTGGAAATGGTTAAAAATTCTTGTTGTTAATGCTAAGTAGAAGAAAGGTAATTTAATTACTTTTCTGTTTGTTACAAATTCTTTCAAAAAAATAAACTTTTTTTCCAAAATTTCTATGTTTTGTGAACGGCCTTGTGCGAGTGTTCACAAAGTTGTAAGCCAAGGCTTTTTTTTGGGTAAATGGTTAAAAATTCTTGTTGTTAATGTTAATTACAGTAAAGGTAGTCCTTTTATTTTTCTTCTAGATATAAATTATTTTAAATAAATTCACTTTTGTTATAAAAATTTTAAAGTTTTGTGTACTGCCATATGCGAGTGTAAAATACAAAGTTGTTAGCCAAGGCTTGTTTAACACAAAATTTTTGAGAATCATGAATGGTTACACATATTAAAATAAAGGAAATTTAATTTAATTCAGTTGGTCATAAATTTTTTTAAAAAAAGAAACTTTTATTGTAAAAATTTTGAAGTTTTGTATACTGCATACAATGGTACCCGCAAGGGATGAGTCGAGACTAATTGATCTCCATTAGTACCCGTATGAGACTAGTTGCGACTAATTAATGCCCAACTGTACCCGATAGAGAGTAATCTCGGAATACTCTCTTTAGAGATTAGTCGCACAATTTTTTGCAGGGCACCTTCTGTATTCGTATGTAGTTGTACGCAAAATCGCAAATCAGTGTTGCCAGAAAACTATTTCGCTTGGAGCTAAACCGGTCGGAAAACAAGAGCTAAAAAATACTAATAGTACCTAAAATGAAGAGATGATTTTTCAAGTTGAGCATTTATTGACATCAAGGCCGTATTTTATAAAAATATAGTTCATTCTTTAACAAAACCCGTGTAAGTCCAAGTTTCCAAATTTGTGCAATATTAAAACAAAATTCAACAAACTTTCGTAAAAATTTCGAGGTTTTTTAAAAACTCCAAAAAATTAATCGCAGTTTTTAGCCATTTGAAACTTGTACTTTATTCTATTGCAGCTGTGTACTTACTCAGAATCTTATTAAAAAATTCGAAATTTTAACGAAAATTTGTTGAATTTTTTTAAATTGCATACATTTTTAAGGCTATCACTCGATTGGTACATTTGTACAGATTATTACATTCTTAAATTAGGCTATTGGTACAAAATAAACAAATGGTAAATTTTTTTTTGTAGTCAAAGGATTGGTACAATACAGCGATGTTCTATTGAAAAATTTCAACAAATTAATTTTCGTGATTGGGATAAAGAAAAACATTTGGGTATTCACAGGATACGATTTGCACCAAATTTTGGCAAACACCCAATCGTGTGACACTTCCTTTAAATTTGTGTTTAGACGCATGTTGTTAAAGAATGAACTATAAAAAACTAACCAAAATTAGATAACAAGAAAAATAATATTTTAAAACTTGTGAAAATTTGGTGCAGATATAATTTTTTCGACTACTGTACATTAGACTGCATCGCCACAAAAAAAGTTGCGGTTTTTCCGGCGGGATTACCAAACCTAGCATATTTTAAGACTTCTAGCAAAATGTTGCGAAACAATACTAAGATTTTCGTGAGCTGGACCGGTTCGAAAATACCTCTAAAAATGTAGTTTTTTATGAATAAAAATAGTTTCTTAAAGGATTTTCTGGAAAAAATCCCCCAGATGACTAAAAAGTTTAAGCTTAAAAAGTTTGCATAAAAATTAAAAAAAAAAGTTTCTACGGAATCATAATAATGAGATTTTAGATGCTGTTTTTTAACTTTTCTCAAAGATTTGTGTAAGAAAAACTAGGATAACTGCTTTACCGATATAGACTTATGAGGTATCAGTGAGAGGTATTTTCGCACCCTTTTTATTTCTTTGCAAAAAAAAAACTCATTCACGTCCCAAATTTTTTTTTATCAAATACCAACACATCTTAATTCAACTTTGATTGCAATTATTCGCAAAGAAATTAAAAGGGAGAGAAAATACCTTACCAACGATACCTCATAAGTCTAAATTGGTAAGGTTTTGGCTGAGTTATTCAAGTTTTTCTTAAACCAGTCTTTGAAAAAAGGTAAAAAATAGCATAAAAAATCTCATTATTATGATTCCGTAGAAAAATCTTTTTAAATTTTTGTATGCAAACTTTTTAAGCTTAAACTGTTTAGTAATCTGAGGTATATTTAAAAAAAAAAATATCTAAAAAAACTTTTTATTAACAAAAAAACTAAATTTTTGGAGGTATTTTCAAATCGGTCCAGCTCACGTAAATGTTAATATATTTGCTAGGTATTTTGGTGGAAGTCTTGAAATGTAATAGATTTTATATTTCTAGTGGAAACAGTTCCATTTTTTTTTTTTGATGGGGAGTGATGCAGTCTACTGTACATAAGTTGACTATGACTACTGGGCCGTGCTATCATAGTAGCACAATGCCACTAAGTGCATTTTAAAATTTTCAGGCAATAGCCTCATACAATTATCGATTATATTTTTTTTGTTTGTGTGAAATATTTTATTTTTATCGGTATTTTTCTTTTAATCAAAATATGTTGAAATAAAAAAGCAAATAAAAAACATTTTGTCTTATATCTAACGTATTTTCGGGCCGATTTGTCTGCTTTTTAAAATATATACTGGCTATGTAAGTAGAATCATGTTTGCGTAAAATGGTCTTCCTAGGTGGCGCCAAGGTTGAGATATTTCGAAAAACCGTATTTATGGTCCGATTTGGTTCGAATTTGGCGTATGTAGTTGAATCATAATAAATCATAGATTTCCAATAAACTCACCCTGAACTGGCGCTGAAGTCAAAATATAAAGTACTAGCAGACCCGGTGAACTTCGTCCCGCCCAAAATTTTTATATATTTTATTGAAACTTTTTGGTCCAACATTTTCACCAACAATTCACGTTTACGATTTTCAGTGGCACATTTGTCTGCTAAGATTAAGGTTTGGTGGTCATTTGCCGCCTTAAATAACCTAAGGAAAGTGTTATATCCGTTCTTGAAATTCTCCAGTTGTGCGGCATTTCATAGCACGGTTATTCGCAAAGCGAAATAAATTTTTTCCTCTTCACTCCCTGGCGGAAAAAATGACCCAGTACTATAGTGAATGTCCTAGAAGCTTTACAGTATAGTAGGTGGCAATTTCAAAATGGGTGCGAATCATTGTTCTACAGAAATGCAATATACATATACTTATTTCAGACGAAATACCTTAAAAGTTTGAACGCATAATAATATTAGAAAATCACATTCATTGGGCCAATTGCAACGCAGGAGCGTTCGATATACTCAATGGTGCAACAGGTCGATTTAATCTGACCTTCACG